AGGTGAGAGTTATCATTCACTTATATACTCTTTAATTATTTTATTTCTAGTCGATGTGAGACTTAAGTTTTTTCTAACAAATAATTGTCGCTAATAGTAAATTTTGATGTGATGTAAATACATTTTTAGTGACCATTATATAATAGTCATTAATATTTTTATTAAATAATAAAATAGAAACAATTAATTTATTGCCATTAAATAATTGTCAGTAATACTAAATTTTGTTGTAGTGCACATGCAGGGACGGAGCCAGGATTTCAATACTGGGGGGCCGAGAATTGGAATGATCAAATGAGGCGCTACATTTTTTTATAAAAAAAAAATTCCAAAGTGATACCACATAGCAGGCCGTACCAGAAGTCCAAAAGTTGAATAAAAAAATAAATTTGGGTTATTCATTTAATTATACATATGAGTTTATATTAAAAATAGGGAGTGCCATATAGTAATATATATGTATATAAAAAAAAATTAAAATAGGGAGTGCCATATACTAATATTTAACATATCAATCTAAAATAATATTCTCAAGATTACAAAATTGTCATTATTTCACATACTAGATTAATTTTACTAGAATTGCAGTAAATTACTAAAATAAAAATGCTTTTTTATGCTAGTGTTTCCATGAACAGTGTTGCTTTCAATGAAGTTGATATTGAAGCAAATAAGTAATAAATACATAAGAATATGACCCTTTAGCATTGTAGAATCGTATCGGTTTGAGGAAACAGCTAGCCTTTAAGCCAACAGGTTCAGAGTCCACACTGAGATTGGTCCACAGATCACTTCCACTTTCCTTATCGATAGGGCAGTGCGTGAGGTTTCCTTTACAATTCCAACGCTGATACCTAGGAATTTTTTCTTTTTTCTTTTTATTCAGTGAATCAGAATAAAGATCATCTTGCAGATTTTCCTCTTACCTTAAGAATTACTATATCTTTTGGCATGAGATATTTGATATTTGATATTTATATGTCACGTCTAGTTTGAGTTTAATCACTGAACTTATTTAATGAAGTCCTTTATGCCTGTGTTTTTAACCTATAAAACTCGAATCTAGCTAAAGTTTCAGGGAAGTTAATTATGCTTCTTAATTACGACTCACTAATAAGAGCCGGTGACTATGAGTTAAGTAATTAAATGTTAAATGGCACCTTAAAAAGTGGTAGATTATGGTACACTCAAATATTATAATAAATAAAGGTTAATGATATGTTGAGACTATCACTAGAGATTCATCTATAAAAAAATATTGCAGACTTAAACTCTAAATATTTTTATCAACTACAATTATTCAACTGTTAAATGTCACTTTTTTTAGTGTAAAAATTTATATTAGAATAATACATCATCTTATATAATGTTAGAGTCAACCATCTACTTCATTAAAGATTTTAGTAAAATTATGAATCACTTACTCCATATTTGATATAAAATGACACTTTGAATTCATACATGTTTATACTTTTCCCTTTATATGTATCATTAATTTTTTTTTTAAATTGATTCAATCTTAAAATCAAATTTTATATTTATTTTGATATTATATATAGGTATATACATATATTTTAATTAAAAGAGAGAGCTCACTAGCTAATGATAAAACACATAAAAATTAAGATCAAATTCATTTAACAAGTATGTTCAATTAAATTTCAATCTAACCTTACAAACTTTCTCTATACGTATTATTAAGAATTTTTTATTTATTTATTTAAAGATTCTACTCCCTAATTTATGATTTTGGGTTATAGTTTTTTTTGGGTACATGATTTAGGGTTATAGTTTGTTGTGTATAATATATATTAATTGTACCTACAAAGGGGTACACCAATGATCTTCTCGTAATCCGAAGGCCGAACGAGTACTCCAATCCGATGTGAGTAGAGGGGTTGGTACCTGCAAAAGGCACTCCAACGCTCAAGTCAGGACAAGCACAGATATCTAGGATAATTAATGAACAGTGACGTTACCTTTTGACCTGAGCTATTTATACTGACATTTATGGGCCCTGGACCCCATGGGCCCTGCAACGTATTTACCATATCAGGTAATACACTTTAATCATCTGATTAACCCCTAATCACGGGTTAAGAGCACTGAGTAATGATAGTTCGGTCCTGGTGGCCGATTGCCGTTCGGCCACCAAATACTGCCATTCGGCGGCCGACCAGAGGTGGCCGAACGCCCCTACCCGTACATTAATTATGTTAGTATAAAAAAATAAACGCATATAATTGATGCAAGAGAAAGGTAGAAAATTAGGCAATGGCAGACATGGCCTATACAGTGAGATAGAGATAGAATGGGCAAACAATAACAGCTTCTCACACTCACTCACTCACTCACTCTCACAACCCAGCTAAGATAGCCTCTGTCAAGATTTTAGGTTGTCGTTGTCGGGGCCAATCTAGTATCACATGCACGTAATGCAGATCTACTAAAGTTTTGATGGGGCTCAGTTACAAAAGATATTCTACAACGTTTTCTGCTCCAATTACTATATTCATGCAAGGTAAAATCAAATGCCTTTCCTTTTCTTTCTCCCCCTTTTTAGTTACGTTTTTGTATTAATGTTTTATTTAAGTAAAAATATATATTAAGGAGAATCACATCACTTTTTTGTTTTAGAAGAGGGATTTTCTTTAGTCATGTTTTATTAGATTAATCGAAGAATTTAACTGACCATTTTTAATAATATCCTTTCATCACATTTTTCTATTTACAATATTTGAATTCAAAAAATTATTTAATAAATCTAAATCTAATATTATTCGGACTAACAATTTATTGCTGGAGAATGGAATTTTGATTATATATCCTATTTGATTTTCTTATAAAAAAAAATAGGATGACAAAGATTTTAATGGAAAGTGAAAAAATAATCCTTTTATTTTTATTTAGTTTATAAGAAAATGAAAGAGGTTCTTTTATGTATTTATAATTTTAGATTTTAAAATATCTATATTAATAATAAAAGAAAATATTCTTTTATAGTGTCTATTTTTATTTTAGACATTTTTATGAGTTATTTTTCTCTAAAAAAATAATTTTTTTAAATAAAATATAGAAACACAAACTTGAGTAGTTAGTAGTAAAAGTATTTTAGTCAATGTACTTGAAATGGAAAAGTTAAAACTCTTTTATAATTTGAATATGTGATATGAGGAGAGAAATAAAGAGGAGAAAACTCCCTCCCTATGTATTTTTGTCCTTCTTCTAATTTTGGGAGGATCAATTTAGAGAAGAAAAAAAATGTGTTTTAAATTATTTTAAATATATTAACTAAATTATTTTTTTTGATTAGGAAAATGACTAATCATACATTAATTAATTAATTAGGTATGAAATAAATTGGTATAAAAGTGAGATAGTGAGTCCTAATAATTTTAATGGTAATATTAGAGAATAATACAAATTATTAACAAATTTAATGTTAACCAATTTTTTTTAATTTCTGTAAATTAATTAAAAGAGTATTGTAGGGGATAAATGTAGTATTTTCTTTCTTTCTCTGCTTTCTCCCCAGTTAATTTTTTTCCTCTTTTTCATTAATTTCTTCTTTAATCAAACGCATTGCAATTTATCTCTATTTAGTTGTGATCTCTTTGCATTAATCTATGGCTTATATCGTCTTACCTATTATAGACTGATCTTCCACTTGTATGCCAAAGAAAAAATGTCATTAAACTTTTAGGTTAAAACAAAACATCAATCTTCCATTTATTCTTAAAATTAAATATCTTCCAATGCCCTTTACCTACCCTTACCTTCCAACTTCCAAGCTTGTAATATCCATCTATAAACTATATTCTATACTTTTTGCTATAAATCACACATGATATATATAGTGCCATTCTTTTCAGAGGTTATATATGCAACAACTAATACTAGTAGATATAAAAAGGATTGGAGTTCACTTCAGTAATATGATTGTAAGATAAGACAAGGTAATAAGCAAAAACCGAGATTGTCTACTTATTTTGCTTCAAATTTTATCCACATACTATAGTATCTCTCTAATTACTAACCTCATTATTTGGTGTAAATGCCCAGTGCAATAAATATTTTCAGTTGTTTGCTTATCCGATACTGGTGGGACTTTATTACCCTGGTTGGATTTGCATTAATTAATTATGTTCTTCTGGTGACAACTAAATATGTAACATATCCACTTATACTTCAGATCCAACAGGAAAAGCTGTACTGTCCTACTATTTCTCACTTTATCTGTTTGGTTTTCATTTCAGTTTCGCAAATAACACAATGCATGTCAGAAATTTTGCATAGGAAAATATTAGACAATGCTTATCCAACAATTTTGGGTAACATGGGGTTCCCATTGTGGGACTAGATCAGAGTTTGTGTAGGGTTTCTTCTAATTTTTATTTATTTTTACTATTTGTTTTTTACCCTTATAGTGAAAAGAAGTTAAAAGAATATTCCTGAAGAAGCTTCCATTAAGTAATGTTATTTCATTTAACATAATACACATTAACCCCTCCTGGTCTCTAATAATCCAAATGGAGACATCTTTTGCAAGCAATAATTAAAAGTAAAGCTATAAGCATCGTTGATGGCTAATGACATTTGCAAAGTTTGCTTTGGGTCTATGGTCTTTTTCATAGTCACCGTTCCCTTTTATAGCCTTTCACACGCCCCACCTTTGGTTATTGGCATTATTATTATTATTGCCATTCTTCTTTTTATCATTGACATATTTTAGGTAAAGATTGTTATACTGATCGCCAAGCTCATAAATCACACTGTCTCTCGAATCTTCAATTTTCCTTCTAACATGTGGATCCACCCATCATAGTCTTTTTGTTATGTACTGACTTGCACGTCTTAAAAAGTATGGAAATTTTCCTTTAAACTAGAAAAGCTATTATTTTTTTAGTGAACCCTCGTGAAAATTCATTTCACAAATTGACATCTTCTAATATATGTTCTTTAATGTTTACGGATCTTGTTTACATGATTAAGCAACATGATTATTGCGGATCATACCAGCCATATTATAGTTTAATGTTAACACTATAATATGCTCTAAATTAATACTTTTACTTTGGCTCAGAAAAAAAAATGTTATCATGTCAGTAGTGTATCCTTCAGGTGTATTTCTTAGTCAAGTATTGTTAATTTTGATTAAGGATTTCATGAGTAGACTATAATTTTTTTTTTGTTCTTTTTCTTAGGAGTCAAAGTGGATGACAGGGATAAGTGAATTTAATTTACCGAGTTAGAAGTTAGCGTCTGAGTCTTACAGCTGCAGATACCTTCCCTCATAATGTGGCTTTCCCATGTTAGGTGCCTTCTAGATTTCCTTCAAAGTACAAAAGAGCCTCACTCAATTCACGTTCTTGGCTTTTATGTGCTGCATTTTGTTAAATGCTGAGCCTTCAAGAGGGTTCCACTTCCATCCAAATAAGACCAACCACGAATCTCGGTGTGTGTTTTACATGAGTTCCCAGATCTGAGTCTTTTCTCTTTAGCCTTTACCATGACGTGTGCTAGAAAAGATTGATGAACTTGGTGTGTTGAGTCCTTTCTCTGTGTATATTTATTTACATACACACACACGCACAATAATAATATACTTGTGTTGTTGTGTGTGAAGTGTGATTCTGTAAAATTCAACATAGAGTGGAAATGGCTCCAAGGCTGGATTTTTCCAATTGGTGGACCAAGGATACACAGAAAGGAACACCAGTGGTGGTGAAAATGGAGAACCCCAATTTCTCTGTCGTGGAGATCAATGGTGCTGATGCTGCATTCAGGCCAGTGGAGAAAAGCCGTGGCAAGAATGCCAAACAAGTGACGTGGGTGTTGCTTCTGAGGGCTCACCGTGCTGTTGGTTGTGTCACTTGGCTTGCCACTGTGCTTTGGGCGTTGCTTGGAGCCATCAAGAAGAGGTTGATTCATGGAGAAGGTGAGAGTGAGAGTGACAAGTTGGAAAAGGGAAAGTTACTGTTTAGGGTCATTAGAGTGTTCCTAGTGACTTCCTTGGCAGTTCTGGCCTTTGAGGTCGTTGCTTACCTTCAAGGTTGGCATTTTGGGAATCCCACTAACTTGCACATTCCTCGTACTTCTGATTTTGAAGGCTTGCTCCACTTGGCTTATGTTGCTTGGTTAACTTTTCGTGCTGAGTATATTGCTCCTCCTATTCAGGCACTTTCCAAGTTTTGTGTTGTTTTGTTTCTTATACAGTCTGTGGATCGCATGCTCCTTTGCTTGGGGTGCTTTTGGATCAAATACAGGAAGGTTAAGCCGAAGATTGACGGGGATCCGCTCGAGATTGATGATGTTGAAGGATCAGCAAGCAATTATCCCATGGTTTTGGTTCAAATTCCAATGTGCAATGAGAGGGAGGTATGAATTACACCAAACTTGTGGATTCCACTTTTGCTAACTCAAAGTTGTTGTATCTAGTGTTCAAGCTAGCAGCAAATGTCAACATATTAATTTTAGCTTTTGCAAATGCCATAAGAAGATAGAAATTTGAATGTTCAGATTATCCTTTTAGCAATGCTTAAGAAATAGAAGAATGCAAGTGAACCAAAAAAAAAAAAAAGGAAAATGGGAGGGGAGTGAATTTGTACTCCAGACATTAGTTCCATCTAGGTTGATACTTGACATTGTAATCATTATTTTCGGTTTCTATAATATACAACACCTTGGTAATTAAGAAGAGAGCAGTTTCCTTATGATGTTGTGTTGTGTTGAGTAATTTTAAAGTCTTATAGTCAATGACAATATATAAGTTTACTTGGTAAGCATAATTTTCTAACTTTGCAAGCACTGATTTTATGCAGGTGTATGAGCAATCTATTTCTGCAGTCTGCCAGATTGATTGGCCTAGGGATCGTTTACTGATTCAAGTACTTGATGATTCTGATGATGAGAGTATACAGTGGTTAATTAAGACAGAGGTCTCTAAATGGAGCCAAAAGGGAATCAATATAATCTATAGGCATCGCTTAATCAGGACTGGATATAAAGCTGGAAATCTTAATTCCGCAATGAGCTGTGACTATGTGAAAGACTATGAGTTTGTTGCAATTTTTGATGCAGACTTTCAACCAAATCCTGACTTTCTTAAGCAAACTGTGCCACATTTCAAGGTTAAGTGATGGGCATCAAACATATTCAGTAAAAATTATTGGAAGGCATGTTTAACAAATTGTAATACCTGCAAATGCATTTTTATTACAGGACAATCCTGAACTCGGCTTGGTTCAAGCTAGATGGTCTTTTGTGAACAAGGACGAGAATTTGTTGACTCGTCTCCAAAACATTAATCTATGCTTCCATTTTGAGGTAGAACAACAGGTCAATGGGGTGTTTCTCAATTTTTTTGGTTTCAATGGAACTGCTGGTGTTTGGAGAATCAAGGCACTAGAAGAATCTGGGGGCTGGCTAGAGAGGACAACTGTAGAAGATATGGACATTGCTGTCCGCGCTCATCTAAATGGTTGGAAGTTTATCTTCCTAAATGATGTTAAGGTGATCATAAATGACAGTTTTTTTTTCCATCCATATCCCCTTTCTTTTGCAATTGGATAATGTACATGCAGAGTAGTATTCATGTATATGCCTGAAATTCTTAAATTTGTAAATTTTCAGGTACCATGTGAAGTTCCTGAGTCATATGAAGCGTATAGGAAGCAGCAACATCGCTGGCATTCAGGTCCTATGCAACTTTTTAGGTTGTGTCTTCCAGCAATTGTGAGATCTAAGGTATATCTGATACTCAGCTTGAAGTAATAATTAGAGGGATAATGAAGAAAAGCACATTCTGGTAACTTTGCAAGTATGGTTTATAATATGCATTTAAATCCTCCATAACTGCAGGTGTCTCCATGGAAGAAAGCAAACTTAATACTGCTATTTTTTCTGTTGAGGAAACTAATCCTTCCCTTTTACTCCTTCACCTTATTCTGCATAATTCTTCCTCTAACCATGTTTGTACCAGAGGCAGAGCTTCCTTTGTGGGTGATCTGCTATGTTCCTGTATTTATGTCACTCCTTAATATCCTTCCTGCTCCAAAATCTTTTCCTTTCATAGTCCCCTACCTACTTTTCGAGAACACGATGTCTGTCACCAAATTCAATGCAATGGTGTCTGGTCTCTTCCAACTGGGAAGCTCTTATGAATGGGTTGTCACAAAGAAAGCTGGCAGGTCGTCAGAGTCTGATTTACTGGCTGCTGCAGAAAGGGAAGCCAAGTCAATAGAACAACAAAAGATTCATAGAGGAGCTTCTGACAGTGACCTTATTGAGTCACACCAATTTAAGGAACACAAAGAGGCAGCTCCAGCACCTGTTAAGAAAACTAACAAGATATATAAGAAAGAGCTGACTTTGGCATTTCTCCTTCTCACTGCTTCTGTTAGGAGTCTGTTATCTGCACAAGGAGTTCACTTCTACTTTCTACTCTTCCAAGGAGTGACCTTCCTCCTCGTGGGGCTTGATCTGATTGGAGAGCAGATGAGCTAGTTTTTCATTCAAAACGGCATAAAAGAGATAATGAGTGGAAAACACCTACTGATTTATCATCTAAGTTGCATTCCAGCAACAAAATGAACCCTGAAGTAAAGTTAAATCCTTTCTTTCCTTCTAAAATTCACAGTACAGGTCTAGCAAACACATAATTGATTGCAAGTACCAAAACAAGGTTTCTCTTATCCAACACTATATCCATTTTGCGTTCACATGATTCATCCCGAGTATTCCATATAGAGCACTGGTCATTGTACTCTTACAGGTATTGAATTCTTGTTCACCGGTATTGTTTAGTGTATAAAATCTTCAGTTTTCTTCATTGTGTTTCAAATGTCTTGAGTGGAGTGCATCTTGCTTGATATGTCTCGAATCATAGGTGCCTTCATGGTAAATAGGGTGTGTAAAACAGGGCATATTTCTGTAAATTCATTGTTATCTAATTTAAACAATAAATTTTATTCCCCCCCGACTATCTCGTTCCCCATTTGTTCTTTTTGTTACTTGAGCAATTTACTTATGTTTTAATTGTATGACTATGAAATGGTGTCGGCAGCCATAAAGTGGAGACAAGCTTAAGTGGCTTGACCATTTTCCGATGTGGTCCCACACTCCCACCAAATAGTTTCATGTTCTTAAAACTGATTTCTATTATGTGAGATTAACGTCACTGGCCCAAAATGCTCGATGGTACTGAATCTACTGCCGCCACTGCCACATCTTTTCCACCCGCTATTAGCATGCACGAAATAGGCCCATTTCTTTGGATGGATATGTCGGTCATCATATTGAACTATATAAAACGAGGTAAAAAAGAATGATAATATAATTTTTGCCTGCACAATTGTACCAGTAGTTTTTGCCAATCACAACTGCGAAAGCATTCTAATCTGAATATAACACGGAAAAAGTTTAGGATAATGTTTTAAGCCATCAAAGCTGTCTTCAAATTGCGGCCAAAAGAAATTGTACATTTGAATTACAATGAAAACATAAAATAAGCAAGAACCAGAACTATGCGCCGGGCTAGGAACAAATAGAATAATATACAAGCAAGGACAATGTTGCAGTGTAAATATACAAGTGGTATTTCAGGTAATTGTAATTTGTAATATACAAGATGAAAATCGATTTTTTTGAAGGAGAAGTAGCAAGCTGCAAACACAGAAGAGCAACTTCTTGGCTAGAAGTTGATGCCAGTGGCCATCAACTATGTTAACTGCAATGGGATCACACATCATAAAGCAAGTGGTAATATATAGGCTAAGAAGAGTTGTACCACCCCAAAAAAAGTTCAGGCTAAGAGAAAACCTGAAAGCTTCTCGTCAACAAACAATGCACACATATTATAGGTATCGGCCTGTAAAATTTGTATGAGGAATAATACTTTTAACTCTTGAAAATGGTAATGGAACTCTAGACAGTGGTGGCTGTATCAGCTACTCAACATGCAGTGCTGATCTAGAAGTCTGTATGGATATAAATTTATAAGAAATTTTGAGTTTTTCTATTAAAAAAAAGTTTTTTTTTAATCGAAAAAATTATCAAAAACCCTTATAAACTTATATCCAAACAAGCTCTAATCATCATCCGGCTCTACTGAAAAGTCTGGCTCTTCAGGCTTTTGCAACTTGAGCATCTCTACATCCTTGATCTTCTGAGCCCCTCTCCTTGTGTTTGCAGCGAATCTTGAAGCCAGTATAGTGACTCCTAGGTTCTGTTTCACTTGTGCAGTGTTTGAAGTCACTGCACTGTGCTCTTCGTCCTTGTGCTCCATTTGATCCCTGATTTGTTCATCATAGTTGAAGGACTGGAATTCCCTCAAACTAAGGCTCTTTGCCAACATTCTCTTCTTGAACCGGCGCCATGCAGCCTGAATGAAGCATGCAGCCCATGTTCTCCAATGGTGAGAATAGTAACGGAAAGTGTGCTGTAACTTCTTGCTGTGGAGACGCCTGAACTGATTGGCCACAAACTTGAGATCTTCTGCTCTTAGTGCAAAGGCTTCCACTTCCACAAGGGCTTTGACTGTTCTTGTAGAAGAAGGCAAGTTGAGAGTGGATTTTGGAAGCAATGCCCATGCAAGTAGCTCTTCTCCACAGAAATCACCAGGCCTCAAGGTAATAGAGTTGAAGAAACCAGTTCTGCCTCCATTTGTGGTTGAGCTTTCGAGTCTCCCTCTGATGATAAAAAGCATCTCTGTAACCGGGTCTCCTTCTCTGACTATGCATGTGCCTTGAGTACTCAAGGATGATACCAACCGCTCACATATTGCATCAAGTAGCTGATCATCCATTTGTGAGAAAAAGGGAACCTGTAGTTCTTGGAAAAGAAGCCATTACATGATGTATATTAATTAGAGAAAATGGTTTATCCATCCATAGCCTAAATGATTTTTTATATCGTCATTTAATCATAAATTATCATGTGTTTATCGATTTTTAAAAACCTACTTTAAAAGTCATATCAGATATGATTTTTGATTAATTGAGAATTACAATATCAGCTATTAAACTACATAAAAAAACTATACGTATTTGATATGCATGGATGAAATTATCTTATTGAACATTTCTTGATGTTGATTTCATGTTCAAAAGAGCATAGTATGATACATAACATGAATATTTGTTGTGAGGAACTTACACGTCGAACAAGGTCCAAGCAAAGGTGGCGTTGGATATCTCTACGTAGATCAGTAGGCAGGCCACGTAGGATTGTTTCTTCATCAACCCCACGAGTTGCTAGCCACTTGTACTGAACAAATCTTCGGACACGCTCTCTGAGATTTTGTGGGAGTTGGCGGTGTCTCATCCATTCTTCAGTGTCACGTCGCTTGAGTCTCCACTCTTCAAGCCTCACAGTAATAGATTGCAAATAGGTCTGCATTGAATTAAGCATGCTAAGGTCTTTCTCCAAATTATAGATGTACTAGGTTCTGCTTTTGGCAAGGTTCTAGTCAACAATGTCAAATAATAAAAATTGAGAAGTTCAACAATAGTGCTTAAGATCGTTGCAGATGATTTCTTTTTTTTTTTTTTTTTATCAGCAAAGAAAATAAATATTATAAGATGTGTAGGATTGATGATACCCTCCAGAAATATTTTCAGCAGAAAAAGTTGCTAACTTGCCAATGTGGGACTTCATGGCTTTTGTAGTACTCCAAATTTACAACAGATAGTACTTGTAACTCTAAAGGACTAGATTGAGGATTTCCTCTGATTTAACTTAGTTGATGATTATATCAAGTCTTTCTGAGATGAGAACGACAAAGATAATGAAACAGTGCAACTGTTTCAAAATTGATGTTGAAGACATAAGAATTCACGTGTAACTGTATTAAAGAACTAGAGCATGTAAAGAAACGTAAAAGCAACAGAACTTATTGTTGCAAATAACATTATTTCAATAGTTTTGAGGATTTGAAAATCCTAAATACCTGCATGTTACCAATTAAGTGGGCAAACAAAACCAGACCCAGAATAGCTATGAGTATTGCAAATGCAGTTTCCCAAACGAATGTGCTTGTAGTCAAACTCTGGCCATAGGAACTGAAAATACAAAAAAGGAAAAAAAATTAATCAAATTTGAACAAATAAAAAATCAATGAGGATAGACATGTGATGTTCAGCTGAAGTTCATGTCAAATATTCATCTAGTTTTTGTTATAAAAACTCTTCCAGCCAAAGCATACATGATTAAAAATAGTTCTAGAATCAAACCTCAAGTTCTGCAAGCCCCACCACAGACAATAGAGATACTTCTCTATAAACACAGAGGAGACAACATTATTTTCCACTGCATTTCCGAAAATTCCATAGTTGAAACTGATGCTATTTTCTGGATTGCATTTACCAAACACAGAAGTAGTGTTTACCCACTTCATGCGATCGTCATTGTTTAAAGTACCGCAATCTAAGTACTTAAGAGCACATTTTACAGGAAGGCTTTCTTTTCTGCATTCAGATTTCCAGCAAGTAGCATGTCTTTCAATTGATAACAAGTACCATGATGCCCCCAAGACCTACAAAAAAGAGTTTACAAAAGTAGTAAGCATCTGAAATAGAGATAATAACAATTTTAAATTATGAAAGTCAAATTGTGATTGAAGTAAACTTAACATACATGACTAGCTAACATGTAAAGTAAAAGATTGTAAGCAGCTCCAGCCCAGGCCGTCTTTGTAACTACACCGGTGGCTTTAATAATCTGAGAACTTAATGGGAAAATCAAATATAATCTGGGGACATATTGAAGCAGAACAATCAGTACAAGTGCATTGTTGGTATGATCAGAATGTGAGCTCCTAATTGCTGGCATAATAAACCAAATCACAATCTGCCAATAAAGAAAAGACAACATGTCATTTAACATCACTTTCAAACATCGACAAACTTCCAAGGACAAAATATATAGACAAAACAAAAACAAGCGTTTCGCAACAATGGGTCTTTCCATTTATATCTTGTTGAAACACCTAGTCCCTTCGATGTGGGACTTCTCTTTTGCCCATAAAAGAATTGAGGCAGGCAATGTGGCACCTTCTCCCTTCCCACAGATGCCTACCAGAATAGGTGATTTACAAAGATGGACTATAGATTCTAATATCATGTTAGATTTCATCTTAAAATCAATTAATATTAAGTGAAGTTGTCCAACAGATACTGCACCCAAGAATTGAGGCAAGCCATGTGGGACATTGCAACATAAACTTGTGTTCTTTTCTGTATGCATTAAACACATAGAAAACAGGAGTGTTACTATCAAAACATTTGTGATACCTGGGGAAGAGGCAGTGTAGCAACAAGATCAAGGAAGAACTCTGATCTCAAGTACCTCCTTGCAATCAACCTAGGATCCATAACAAGCTCACCCCTACCAAAAACCCTTGAACTTGGTGATACGTAGGCAGTTCTGAACTTTATGCCCATGTTGAGCAGATAGAAAACATCAGCAAATGTCCGGAAACATGTCACAACAATTCCTATATTCAAATCAGTAGCCATACACGATGATTTCCCATCGCTTGCTACTGAGGGGAGGTAGAAAAACAGTGGATCCACAAACAGTGCTAGAATGCAAGAAAACAGAAAAGCTCGGTTCCACTCCAAAATGATATCACTGCCAGGATCAAGAATCCTCTTCTTCCACGGCTCTTGATTCTCTGGGAAAACCTTTAACTTCCCAAGTGAGGGAAGTCTGATACTCATCCTGCTCTTATCACCACTACTCATTTTGCATTCCGGAAAGACTGTGAATGGCTTCTCATGGTGTTTGTGTGAATCTATCTTTTCCCAAGGAGGTTCAAGAGTCTGTTTTCCATCATTGGAGAACCTGTGAGTTTCCCAAACCGTTAATTATATTTGATCAAAGTTCTTTAGAGATATCACATTGACCAGTGATATGTCCAAAATAGTGTGTATATATATGAGGAGCAACCCTCCTCTTACATATTGGTCTTATAAGATTGAGTTAACCATTTAATTTACATGTAAGATTCTATTCTAGCGAGGAAATGAAAATGAAGAAGAAAAGGGACGAAGGTACTGAATTTACCTGACTAGCTTCTCATTTTTTAGCTCCATTATTGTTATGATGAACTATTGTCAAATGCTCACACAGATACTACTTCCACTGAGGAGTGCATTGCATTGCAAGATGCAACATGACAATGAAGAAAAGCAAACACTAATGGCTCTGGTGTTCCCTTTGAACATTATTTCTTCTGAGATAAACGAAACGTGTCTTGTACTTCATCTGCGACAAAAATAAGGTTTTGGAGAAACGAGAAAAATTGGGTAATGGGGGGAGTGATAAGCTTTTGATTGAATTCAACGCTTAAAGATGCGATTTTGGATTCGGAGAAAATGGGTTTGACTTGGTTGCTTCCGTGGACAACGGAAGAGTAACCACCAAAACGGCCTCCAATTAACACAGCTCAGATATTATACTATAATACACATTGGACAAGTGAAAACGTGGGAAGTGGAACCCATGACAAAACTATATATAAATTTATCTAATATATATCAATTTGCATTTTAGAATGAATATGCTGCCAAGTTATAATTTTGGATTTTGGTATTGCTTTTTTACTTTAGAAAAATATATGTTAATATATTGTAATTTTGATTTAAGAAAAATATACCTTTTGCAGCTTAAAAAAAAGGCCATTTTCTAATCAACTTCGAACAAAAGAAGAAAATATAAACACGTTTTCCGCCAAGTTTAATGGTTGCTTTCTGAGAAAAGAAACAGAGGAAATAGGCTGAAGACGGCTAAAATAATGAATGAACTTGTAGGCTGTAGCCTGCATTGCTGCACAAAGACCTTTAGACTAGTCTTATATGATGGGGAAAGCCATCACCATATTGCAAGGTCAGGGATTCGAATCTTGTTTTATGTATGCAGTCGCGTTAAATCTTGAGACCAGCTATTTCATCCTTTGAGGTACATCCAACGTAAGGAAGAGATTAGTCACTGCTATTGGTGGTAGATACTCCAGGAACGAACAAAAAAAAAATAATGATATTGTAATACGCAGTCAAAATAATTTTTTTCAACTTGTAAAAATATACGCAGAACAATAATAAATATATAATAAAAAAATAGAACTTATAAAAAATACACCAAGATGTTAACATAAATAATACTAGATACAAAGATAAAAATTAACCACAACTTTGTCTAGAAAAAAAATGGCTCTAGTTTTTTTTTTTGTTCGTCCCTGGAGTATTCACCGCCGATAGCGGTGACTAATTTCCTCGCTACGAGGGAGACACCTCAAAGGGTGGGATAGCTGGCCCCAAGATTTAACGCGGCTGCATACACAAGGCAGGATTTGAACCTCTGACCTTGCTTAAGCGTGGATCAACCCCTACCGCTGAACCACACGCTTGGGGTTAGAAATAAGCATTAAAGCTTTTTTAATTAACTTTTTTTTTAATTATTAATAAGCGTTAAAGCTTATAAATGAGAAATATTAAGATGAAAGAAAACACACACAAAAAAAAAACAAAGTTACTTCACGAGCGTCGAGCAATTTACCTCACTTTCGTCGTACCTTAAATGAACGTGCACACTTGACATTGGGTCTCTTTTAATCCTAATTCGACATTATTTACTTAGACAAGTGAAAAGAAAAACGAACATGCACATTTTGAAGTTCTCTCCATCTAAAAGGAACCCAAAATCTAACATTGTTTATAGAAAACAATTTTTTTTATTTGAATTGAATAAAAATAGCAAAATTCTCCTTCCAATAGTTAATGATCATTGCATAATTAATTGTGAAAATTAAAAAATATAATTCTTTTAAAAGATTGATGTAATTACATAAACAACATAATTGTACGCATCTAATATAATTGTATATATACTATACACTGTAGTAAACACTCTCAATTTAAAATATATATAGATTTAAAACAGTGAAAATAGACAAAAAGTAGTATAATAATAAAAAATTGTTGAGTGGGTCCGGAGTCTTATTGGTAGAATATTTTCCACTGGGCTTTTGTTAAACCTCAATCAACGGCACGAATGTGACTAATATGCTTTCTCACGTGCAAAAAGCTACCAATGTTTGATATTATTAATTATTAATACCGTGCCAAGATTAACGAAAAAGTGAAAATCTTTGGAAGATAATGACAAAATTAAAGAGTTACCGAGAAAAATTCAAATTTTACATTGATTTAAGATAAAATAATTAAAAATATATATAAATAAAGAATAATCTATTCCTTATAAACTGATTTTATAGAATTGAGTTAAATTCAATTTTACTATTTAAAAAAAATAAGTTTAAAAATACTATTTTAACAAATTTTTATATGATATTTATTAAAACAAACTAAAATGCTATCACAAGTGATTTTTACAAAGTCAAATAAATTCTTCATAAACGTTTGAAGTATCCAACAAAAAGGGGATGAGTATAACTAATACATTTTTTCTTTTGGAATACTCACAAGGTCAAACAAAATTGGTGGATATTTAAGTTTCTTATATAGACTTACTTGATTTTCTGTAGTGCATGTAGATAAAATTTTATTAAAAAAATAAAATCTATTTAAGTAATTTTTACGTTTTAAAATGAATTAAGTTTTAATTATTGATTGAATAATTTTTTAAAAGAAGACTTTATTTGGATTAAGAATAAAATAGAGACTAAGATGAATAAAAATCGTCTTTACCAATATTTTGGATTAAGAATAAAATAGAGACTAAGATGAATAAAAATAGAAATAGAGGAAAAGTAAAAATACTATTTGGATTGATAGAAATAAAAGGAAAAAAGTCTCCCCTTTCTTGATAATGTAAAAAATGGAAAATAAATAAATAAGTGAATTACATATAAATATTTTCAAATCTTTAATTTTTAACTTTTTTCTCTTTGTATACAGTCAAACTGTACAAATCACAAGACGGGTAAATAAATAACAGCTTTTTATTACATTTTAAAAAATGATTCTAAGCATTCCATCTAATTAACAAATAACATCTTGTGCATCTCTGCTATATTTCTCTCTTTATATGTATTATTGGTAATTTTTCTTTTCTGAAACTAAAGCTGGGTTCTCTTTTTGTCAGAATTTTTTGCAAGATGATGATAATCAATTGGAGATTACACGAGCTAGATGTATGTCTATAATCTCATTGGTTTTATTTGCATTTTATAGATAACATGTCAGTTATTCTATTATTTCCTTGACAGTTGGAAGTGTGATTAAAAGACATGGAGATTTGACAGAGCGTCTTGCTAGGTAAAATACTCTGAAGATTTTCGTTATTCTTTTCATCTTTGGTTTTCAGCAAAACCATGGCCCAACCAAATGATTAATGCATGAATTTTAAGTAATTTTTCTGTTTTTGAGTTTATATTGTTAATTATTTAATAGAAACATAAATATAATGTTAGAAACCACTATCTGCTATCCTGCTATCCCACTTTTAGGATTGGCTGCTTTGCTCCCCTATCTGGGATTGACAACTATGGTAGAAAAATCTCTTCAATTTCTCACTTTTATTTTCTTTATAAGTGTTTTATGTGTAATTTTTAACATGTTTTGAAACTGCTTCATAACAATCAAGGTTTATTTGGTCACTTGAAGATATACTATAAAAGCTATAAAACATGTAAAGAAAAGCAACTTAAAGCATATGCTAGTCGGATTCCCTAGGGTGGGAGCTTGAAGTGACCTTGGTGGTATTCAAGCCACTCCCACAAGCACTACTTCAAGTTATCCTAAAATGAAGAGGTTTAAAAATGGCCAATTACAAACCAAAATGAATGAAAGCAAAGGCTAAAACACAAAGGCCGAAAATTTAACAAGAAAGAAACAATTGAAAAAGAAAATTTTGAGTCTTTAAGTCTTCAAATATCCACCCCTTCACAAGGAACACCCAAAGTTAGCCTTTCAATGGTGTTTGCACTATTTGATTTGGTGTGATCCTCCAAAGATCCTTGAACTTAAATCGGCAGCCCCTTCACTCAATCCACCAAGAAAGTGTGTGGTGTTTAGAAGCTTTCCTCACCTAGGTCAAGAAGAAACCACAACCCAAGAGTACAAGAGGCCAAGGAAGAAAAACTAAAAAGGCACAATTAAAAAGGCTAAACTCAAATGGATTTGTTGAGACAAACTTAAGAGTAGAAAGAAAGACTCAAAAACTAAAATTAAGGCACATTAACAAAAAGTAAGCACATAAAAGAGTAAATCCTAGAATGGCACTAGAATGGAATTTATCAAGTAGGCTAAAAAATTGAATGATGCACTTAATATGTTTGATTTAATGTTTCATATGGCCATACACTAGTTCACAGGTCCAAGAATAACTCCAAATGCCAAGGTATGGAAAATTTGGTCCAAGACTCCACAAGTCTAGCAAAGGTTCCCTTTTTCTTTTGATTCTTTTTTATTTTTTTTTTCTTTTGTTCCTTTTCATACTAGACTAGGTCACGATTTTGAGGTCCAAAAGTCTAGCCAATTTTTTTTTATTTATTTTATAGTTCTCCTTTGCTTGGGTTTTACACTTGTGTCTTGTTAGTTTGATGAGCAAATCCTTGGAGTATCCTCTTAGCAACTTACAATGGCTTAATGAGACAAGTTTTGAGTGTTTTCTTAAGGTTTTTAATGTACAATGTCCAGCAACAAGAATGTGCACATAAAAGTCATTTTCATACTCAAAACATCAAACAATACATAGTATTATTGGTAATTTTTCTTTTCTGAAACTAAAGCTGGGTTCTCTTTTTGTCAGAATTTTTTGCAAGATGATGATAATCAATTGGAGATTACACGAGCTAGATGTATGTCTATAATCTCATTGGTTTTATTTGCATTTTATAGATAACATGTCAGTTATTCTATTATTTCCTTGACAGTTGGAAGTGTGATTAAAAGACATGGAGATTTGACAGAGCGTCTTGCTAGGTAAAATACTCTGAAGATTTTCGTTATTCTTTTCATCTTTGGTTTTCAGCAAAACCATGGCCCAACCAAATGATTTTTTTATCTAAATTTTAGTTGCATTCAATAATTTATATATTAATGAATTTAGTTAAATAATTTTTAAATCTTGAATAAATTAAAAAAAATCAAAGTAATGTTTCAAAATTATAAATAATTATTATATCGAAAGGATTATATCAATCCATATTTATGAAATAAAGAATTAAAGTGAATATTTTAAAAAGATAAATGACTAAAATGAATTTTAAAAATAAGATAAAAGATCAAAAGTTTAATTTAATAATATAATAAAATTAATATTTAAAATATTCACAATTTATCTTTATTATAACCATATTTTAAAAATATTATTGTAAAAATAAAAAAGAAATAAATAATTAAAAATTAGACAGTAATAAATTATATAACTATAATATTATAAAATAATATTGTAAAATATTTAAAATATCATGCACATTTAAAATGATAATAAAAATATTGATTAATATTTGTAGCATGTGATAATATTAAAAAAATGTAAACAAATTGTAACAAAAAAAAGCAAATACCTAAAACTATTAATAATAAAATAAAATAATAGCAACCTAATACTGTAAATTTAAGGAAAAAGATGTTACAACAATATAGTAGCCAACAGAAAATAAAATAAGTAGAAATATATTATTTTATATTGAATTGAATATAATGAAAATCACATTAAAACTTATGAATTATTATTATGATAATATTAAAACGACCAAATTAATATTATAAAATAAAAATATTCTTTTACAGATATATAGTTTTTTTAAATAGCTGAGAAAGATAAAAAAAAAAAAAAGTTACTGCAATAATAACATAATAGTAGTAGAAAGATAATATTATAAAAAATAAAAAAAGTATATATAATTGAAAAATCACACATAATATTAAATTATTATTATTATAATAATAAAATTAATAAAATAATTTAATCGTTATTCTTTTCATCTTTGGTTTTCAGCAAAACCATGGCCCAACCAAATGATTAATGCATGAATTTTAAGTAATTTTTCTGTTTTTGAGTTTATATTGTTAATTATTTAATAGAAACATAAATATAATGTTAGAAACCACTATCTGCTATCCTGCTATCCCACTTTTAGGATTGGCTGCTTTGCTCCCCTATCTGGGATTGACAACTATGGTAGAAAAATCTCTTCAATTTCTCACTTTTATTTTCTTTATAAGTGTTTTATGTGTAATTTTTAACATGTTTTGAAACTGCTTCATAACAATCAAGGTTTATTTGGTCACTTGAAGATGTGTAGTTCTCTTCCCTTTTCCTTAGTGAAAATCTCAATGCATTTAATGACTGCCTACTTTTATTATGATTATTGTTTATGTCCATTACATCTGTACGCTGTAGTGACTTTTTTTTATTTAAAATATTTACTGGGTTCATAGGGATTCTGACAAGATAATATTTGAGCGTCTACAGAAAGAGTTTGAAGCTGCACGAGCTTCTCAAACTGAAGGTAGCTTTGACTTTGGTCTGTATGGATGAATTCTTTAATAAATTAATAGTGAACCGTACAGCTCTGCCATGTCTCAATTTTCTTTCCCATTTATTTCCTTTTTTTCTACTTTAGTCTAGCTGATATTATTCTTTATCTTTGTCAATTATTCCTTTCTTCCCCTTTTCAATTTATTTATTTTATTTCATTTATTATAAACCTTTCGATTTATATTTTTTTCATATGGATGCATAACTGTCTTGTTAAGTGTTAAGCATACTAATTTTGGTTATGACATATGATGGTAAGATTGATAATAAAGTTATTTTACAGCTGCTGATCATCGCTCATCATATAGAATATATATCAGGGCTATTTATGCATGAAATAAGAAAAGGGAATTGAACAGCAAAGAAACATTAAATAATCTAAAGCATTTTAACAAGATAAGATTATTAAGATGTGAAATCTTGGTTCACTTGATGAGATATACTTTTGTAACTTCTGAAATACTGACCTACTTCATTTGTTCATTCATTTTGGTATAGATGTTCAGAAAATGCTTCTTAATTACCTTTTATTTGTTTTACAGAGATACATTTAGATGGGGAAGAGTGGAATGATGGTCTACTAGCTACAATAAGAGAGCGGGTATTGGTTTTTTGATTGTTACCTTATTTCACTCGGTGTTCTGCTATTTGACCTTGGTGGTCTCTGTAAATATCAATTTGTTTCAGTTTCACTGATGTTGTTGATAATAATGATTGATACATTAAATTTTTCCCCTGTCAGGTGCATATGGAGGCAGACAGAAAAGCAATGCATGGGGATGCTGATATATTAGCATGTCCTCAGGAAAAAATTACATATAAAATTGGAAACAAGGTAAGTTATATGATGAAGCCTGCCCAAAACACTTCTTGTTGCAAATGACTTATTTTATTTTTCAGTAAAAACTAAACACATTATACTTGTAATACTTGAGCATAGATTTACAAAATTCTTGACAAAGCCTGAGAAGATAAGATAGGCACATCGGACAAGGTAAAAGATTATAAGTTGGTGGTCATGTATATTTCAGTTGTGTTAGAGTGGAGAACTGAACTTTTCTTTTCCAAAGCACTCCACAACACTTTTATTGACACTCAATCATAAGCTTTTCCAAGTCAATAAATCATATTTAAGTATGTTTCTTTTCTTTGGTACCATTCCATCAAATTCTTTTTCTAGATAAACTTGGGTAAACTCGCATAAACTCTCTATAGAGAACAGATAAGCCAAATGCTAATATAAGGTTTCTGGAATATGGATATAAAATAGTCAGAAAGTACTTGTTTTGCATGATTGTGTAAGTGTAAACCTCCCAGGGCCTTTGAACGAGTCCAAACCACCTTAATCAATTTTCTGATATGTTTTCTTCAATTGGAGTTGTACCAATCTTTCTTCATATCGTATATTTTCTTGTATGGTCATACATTCATCTTAACATTCTAAATCCTATCACTACCACCTTAAAGTCTAACATTCACTACACATGTATAGCCGAACATATAGTTGTACAATAAAAGGCAATATATATATATAGAAGACTTTACCATTGCATTGGATGAAAGAAGGTCATTTTCTATTTCACGTATAGGCAGGAAAAATGGAACTGTGTGTTCAAGGACAGTCATCTTTTCAAGAAATGACTTGCTCTCCAGCACACAATGGTAAAACTCACAAGGTTCACCTGGAAATTAACAAACAGGCTTTATCATTTATCATAGTCTGGTCAGATGGAAAAGGAAAAGACAAACAGGAAAAGGCAAATAGAAAAAGTCCCGCCCTCTATCAGATAATTTATAATGCCATCTTATGAGTTAAATTAACATGATAGTTTTCGTGAATAACTTAAGTTCAGAAATTTGGTTCCAAATTACCAGCAAAAGATGTCTCATATTGTACACCAATTCTTGCCCCTTCCAAACAGCAAATTACCTGCTTACAAATACACAATCAAATTTAAAAAGACTATCTGGTCATGAAGTTTTCACACAAAATGCCAAATGATCTTGAGAAAAGTTACGAACAACTAGGCATACCAAAGTCATTTAATATTTTTTGGAGGGTTGGTTAATAAAATGTTAAAAACACAAAATGAGGAAGTAAATTAGTGGAAAGATAAAAAGCAAGTCATGACAAGAAACGTAAAAACATATAGCATGCAGCAAGGCCGCCAATCACTCTGCACAGAAGGGCAGCTTCCTTAAAAAAGCCATGAGCATAATACCAAAGAGGAGCCATAATCCAATCCCATAACAAGTTAAAAGAGACACACATAAAAGTGAAAGTGCTCTGTTCCATCCACTATCACCACAATTGCAGAAATCAGAACTAATAGTTTCTAACTCACCAACAATTCCTAGCACTAATAACAATAATATTTGTACATCAATGTCAAATACAGAACCTACAATCCAATCAATCCATACAATACAATGCCCCCAAATTTCAAAAGTTTGTTTGCTAGTCCGTAATATACATCTGTAAACCCTTGAGCAGGCATTTTATAATTTTAGTATCACAGCATCTAATATTAAGAATCAATATCCTTATAAAATATACCCCTAAACACTTCCTAAATTTTGCAGTTCTCCACTCTAACACAACTGAAATATACATGACCACCAACTTATAATCTTTTACCTTGTCCGATGTGCCTATCTTATCTTCTCAGGCTTTGTCAAGAATTTTGTAAATCTATGCTCAAGTATTACAAGTATAATGTGTTTAGTTTTTACTGAAAAATAAAATAAGTCATTTGCAACAAGAAGTGTTTTGGGCAGGCTTCATCATATAACTTACCTTGTTTCCAATTTTATATGTAATTTTTTCCTGAGGACATGCTAATATATCAGCATCCCCATGCATTGCTTTTCTGTCTGCCTCCATATGCACCTGACAGGGGAAAAATTTAATGTATCAATCATTATTATCTACAACATCAGTGAAACTGAAACAAATTGATATTTACAGAGACCACCAAGGTCAAATAGCAGAACACCGAGTGAAATAAAGTAACAATAAAAAAAACCAATACCCGCTCTCTTATTGTAGTAGACCATCATTCCACTCTTCCCCATCTAAACGTATCTCTGTAAAAACAAATAAAAGGTAATTAAGAAGCATTTTCTGAACATCTATACCAAAATGAATGAACAAATGAAGTAGGTCAGTATTTCAGAAGTTACAAAAGTATATCTCATCAAGTGAACCAAGATTTCACATCTTAATAATGTTATCTTGTTAAAATGCTTTAGATTATATAATGTTTCTTTGCTGTTCAATTCCCTTTTCTTATTTCATGCATAAATAGCCCTGATATATATTCTATATGATGAGTGATGATCAGCAGCAGTAAAATCACTTTATTATCAATCTTACCATCATATGTCATAACCAAAATTAGTATGCTTAACACTTAACAAAACAGTTATGCATCCATATGAAAAGAAATATAAATTGAAAGGTTTAGAATAAATGAAATAAAATAAATAAATTGAAAAGGGGAAAAAAGGAATAATTGACAAAGGTAAATAATCATATCAGCTAGACTAAAGTGGAAAAAAGGAAATAAATGGGAAAGAAAATTGAGACACGGCAGAGCTGTACGGTTCACTATTAATTTATTAAAGAATTCATCCATACAGACCAAAGTCAAAGCTACCTTCAGTTTGAGAAGCTCGTGCAGCTTCAAACTCTTTCTGTAGACGCTCAAATATTATCTTGTCAGAATCCCTATGAACCCAGTAAATATTTATAATATAAAAAAAGTCACTACAGCGTACAGAAGTAATGGACATTCTGAAACAATGATCATAATAAAAGTAGGCAGTCATTAAATGCATTGAGATTTTCACTAAGGAAAAGGGAAGAGAACTACATATCTTCAAGTGACCAAATAAACCTTGATTGTTATGAAGCAGTTTCAAAACATGTTAGAAATTACACATAAAACACTTATAAAGAAAATAAAAGTGAAAAATTGAAGAGATTTTTCTACCATAGTTGTCAATCAGCAAAACCATGGCCCAACCAAATGATTAATGCATGAATTTTAAGTAATTTTTCTGTTTTTGAGTTTATATTGTTAATTATTTAATAGAAACATAAATATAATGTTAGAAACCACTATCTGCTATTGTAGAAGAGAAAGTAGTTTGATAACTCATTATTTAACTAAAAATTTTATTTTATTTAATTTTAAAAATATTTATAAAGAAATTTCTCATTCTATTTAGAATCTTATTTTAATGAAAATGAATCTAATTATTTTATTGTAAAAAAAATATTCACATCAATTTTTTTTTATAATATTGCACCGAATTAATTTAGAACTTGTTACATAAGCTTCTTAACGTCAGTTTTTATATAATTGTGTTATTATTTTGTTAAATATTAAACGTGAAATTAAAGACAATTAAAATTATATAATTAATACGATGTAAAACCAAAAGTCAAGAAAAAGTTAAAGAGATTAAATTGAAAAACTAATGATAAAAATGGAAAATTCAAAGTGTAACTTTAAAATATGTTCATTATTAGATCATACATAGAAAGAGGTTGACTGGAGAACGGTTTCCATGTCTGCGTGGATCCACGCAGATCCCTCGTCAGAAATATTAGTTTGTGCTGATATATTTTATTATTATTTATTTGTAGTGATTATCATTAAAGGAGTCGTGTTTTTAAAAACTGATTATTTTAAATAAAGTTGAAATATGTTTATAATTTTTAAATTTGTAAAATAATTTTGTATTTATGTAGAATAAGAAAAATTGAGTAAAAAATTATATAAGATTTATCTGAAAATGAAATGAAAAAATAATAAATTTAAAATTGGAAATTGTATAGGAAATGTTATTATTGATGTGGTTATTTTATGGTATTTGTCTGAGAATATATTTTATGAATTATTTTTATAAGGTTATTATACAAACATAATTTACAATGATGAGATATTGTCCGCTTTGGGCTTTAGCCCTCACGATTTTGCTTTTAGTCATCACTTAAAAGACCTCTCAATCATTGAAACATGTTTGTATTATATAAGGTTAATTTTTATTATATTTTATCGATGTGGGACTTGTTTCTATCTCAACAATTATGTGTTGAGATTAAGAAAGATGCGGATAATGAGAAAGAATTATATTATTATGTAATAATGAGATGCAGTATTAATAAAAGGCAGGGCGAAGCGAAGAAGAGAGCGTAAGAGTTAGCAGTAGTGAGAGTAGAGAGAAATGGAGGAAACGCAGTTCGACGTGATAGTCATCGGAGGAGGAGTGATGGGAAGCTCCACCGCCTACAACGCGGGGAAACGAGGCCTCAAAACCCTGCTCCTCGAACAATTCGACTTCCTCCACCACCGTGGCTCCTCCCACGGCGAGTCCCGCACCATCCGCGTTACCTACCCTCAACACCACTACTACCCTCTCGTAATGGACTCCTACACCCTCTGGCAAGAGGCCCAGGCCCAGGTGGGCTACCAGGTCTACTTCCCGGCCCACCACTTCGACATGGCCCCATCCCACCACCCCACAATGCGCTCCCTCCTCGACTACTGCCGGGCCCACAACATCCCCTTCCAACTCCTCCGCAGCCCTGAGGTGGGCCAAAAATTCTCGGGCCGCATCAACATCCCCGACGACTGGGTGGGCCTCTCCAACCCCCACGGCGGCATCATCAAGCCCACCAAAGCCCAAGTTGATTTCGCGAGGGATACAAACAAACTCTACCTCCCAAGTCGCCATGTTCCAGACACTGGCTTTCAAAAACGGCGCCGTGTTGAAGGACAACACGAAGGTGATAGACATAAAAAAGTCCCCCGAGGGGGGCGTGGTTGTTTTGACCGCGCGTGGTGAAAAATTCCGCGCTAAAAAGTGCGTGGTGACGGCGGGCGCGTGGGCGAGTAAGTTAGTTAAAACGGTTAGCGGGGTGGAACTCCCGATAGAGGCAGTGGAGACGCACGTTTCGTACTGGAGGATTAAGGAGGGGCAGCAAGGTAAATTCGCGGTGGGGAGTGGGTTTCCGACGTTCGCGAGCTTCGGAGATATTTACATTTACGGAACTCCGACGTTGGAGTTTCCGGATTTGATTAAGGTGGGGGTGCACGGGGGAAAGGCGTGTGACCCGGACAAGAGGCCGTGGGGCCCAGGGGTGATGATGGAGGCGTTGAAAACGTGGGTGGAAAAGAGTTTCATGGGTTTGGTCCATTCGAGTGAGCCTGTGATGAAGCAGGCTTGCATGTACTCCATGACACCCGATGAGGATTTCGTCATAGATTTCTTGGGTGGGGAGTTTGGGAAGGATGTGATCATTGGAGGAGGGTTTTCCGGTCACGGCTTCAAGATGGCTCCAGTCATTGGCAGGATTTTGGTCGATCTTGCGCTTCATGGGGATCCCAATGGGGTCGATATCAGCCACTTCACCATTGCAAGGTTTAGGACATCTTCCAAGCTTTAAGCTTTTGGATTTTTCTTACGTCCCCTTTGTCCTTCTCTATGTTTTCTACTGTTCCCTCTCTTCTATTTAAATAAATTAATTATCAATTCCAACACCCCTGTCCACTCACCACTCACCATCACCTGCCTAAACTAGATCAATCACCTGTCCACTCACCACCCACCCAACTATCATTCATATTCTTAATTAACCATACTCATTATTCATCACATTCACATACATATAAAATATATTTTGTTCACAAATACAATTACTCTTTTTTAACGATTTCTATACTTCAAAATTATAATTGACTACCGCGCAAAAAATATCTTGATTAAGAAAAAATAAACGCCAACCCAACTACGACTCTCATTCATTCCAATTCCAAACTATAAAAAGGACAATAAGTGAGAACACTGTAGCAAAATATACTATTCCAAGCCGCAAGACAGGCTGTCCATCACATGAAACCACTATCCTTTAAGAATGACAACAAAAATGTCAAGTCATAAAACATAGTGCTGTTCATCATTTGTTCCTTTCTTATATTTTGCCAAATCTTAATTTGTTTTAAAAGCAGTCCCTTCAGCCTCCATTTTAAGTTTCGACGTCATCATCCCTTATGTGACAAAATTCTATAATGTTTCTTTCCAAATCACACCTAAAGTTTCTTAAAAATTTACCGCATATATTTTAAATTATCAAATTATAAATATTCTCATTAGTTTTCTTTTTTTAATTTCAAATTATCAGCATAAAAAAATTTAATTACATTTTCAAGTATCTCGCCATATCTTATTAATTCTGAAATGAATTAGTAGAAATATAATTTTAATTCATATATTAACCTAACATCAAATATTTAATTTAAGGATTTGATTCCTCTAAAATAAATGGTATACTTTAAAAGATAAAATATAATAATTATTATTAATTAAAAATTAATAATAAAGAATTATAATAAAATCAAACACATATATAAAAAATTTAAAATTAATTACAATATTCATTGTCAATGATTATTATTACTTTATTAATGGAATCTCTTTATTTTTGAGAAGTGAAATCCTTAATTTAAATACTAACATTAACACTTCATAACATGTTCACTAAAGAAGGTTGCTGTATAAATTTCAAAAGCGTTCATTCTTTTGATATAACAATGCTTGGAAAACAAGGATGTAGATTTCTTTCTGGCTCTAATGCTATGGTGTCAAGACTCTTCAAAGCTAAATACTAGTCTTAAAGAGATTTTATGGATTCTAGTAATTATATTTGGCCTAATGTATTTATAATTCTCTAGTTGTGATCGAGTAAGGTTTGAGGAAGAGGATCGGTGAAAATTCAAAAATTAATATGTAGAAGGAATCTTGGTTGTGAGGTATGACATGCATCAAACTATATTGTCCCAAGATCTTACTGCTCTTGATACCATGTAAGAGTTAGAGAAGAGGGAAGAGAGAAAGAGAGGAATGATATGTGTGTGTTATTATTGAACGTATTACAAAGTATATATGGTATGTATGCAGAGAAAATCTATGGACTTAATGGGTCTTAAATAACTATATTCCCTTTACAAAAATAAATAACATGATTTATTTAATCTATTTAAAAATATGACTGGTGGTCTCAATTGTATCATGTCATTGTTTTTTTTTTGGTATCATTATGAAAGATAGAAGGCAAAAATACACTAGAACCTAGATGACATAGAGTCAACTCCTCATGTTTTGAAACTGCTTCATAACAATCAAGGTTTATTTGGTCACTTGAAGATGTGTAGTTCTCTTCCCTTTTCCTTAGTGAAAATCTCAATGCATTTAATGACTGCCTACTTTTATTATGATTATTGTTTATGTCCATTACATCTGTACGCTGTAGTGACTTTTTTTTATTTAAAATATTTACTGGGTTCATAGGGATTCTGACAAGATAATATTTGAGCGTCTACAGAAAGAGTTTGAAGCTGCACGAGCTTCTCAAACTGAAGGTAGCTTTGACTTTGGTCTGTATGGATGAATTCTTTAATAAATTAATAGTGAACCGTACAGCTCTGCCATGTCTCAATTTTCTTTCCCATTTATTTCCTTTTTTTCTACTTTAGTCTAGCTGATATTATTCTTTATCTTTGTCAATTATTCCTTTCTTCCCCTTTTCAATTTATTTATTTTATTTCATTTATTATAAACCTTTCGATTTATATTTTTTTCATATGGATGCATAACTGTCTTGTTAAGTGTTAAGCATACTAATTTTGGTTATGACATATGATGGTAAGATTGATAATAAAGTTATTTTACAGCTGCTGATCATCGCTCATCATATAGAATATATATCAGGGCTATTTATGCATGAAATAAGAAAAGGGAATTGAACAGCAAAGAAACATTAAATAATCTAAAGCATTTTAACAAGATAAGATTATTAAGATGTGAAATCTTGGTTCACTTGATGAGATATACTTTTGTAACTTCTGAAATACTGACCTACTTCATTTGTTCATTCATTTTGGTATAGATGTTCAGAAAATGCTTCTTAATTACCTTTTATTTGTTTTACAGAGATACATTTAGATGGGGAAGAGTGGAATGATGGTCTACTAGCTACAATAAGAGAGCGGGTATTGGTTTTTTGATTGTTACCTTATTTCACTCGGTGTTCTGCTATTTGACCTTGGTGGTCTCTGTAAATATCAATTTGTTTCAGTTTCACTGATGTTGTTGATAATAATGATTGATACATTAAATTTTTCCCCTCAGGTGCATATGGAGGCAGACAGAAAAGCAATGCATGGGGATGCTGATATATTAGCATGTCCTCAGGAAAAAATTACATATAAAATTGGAAACAAGGTAAGTTATATGATGAAGCCTGCCCAAAACACTTCTTGTTGGAAATGACTTATTATTTTTCAGTAAAAACTAAACACATTATACTTGTAATACTTGAGCATAGATTTACAAAATTCTTGACAAAGCCTGAGAAGATAAGATAGGCACATCGGACAAGGTAAAAGATTATAAGTTGGTGGTCATGTATATTTCAGTTGTGTTAGAGTGGAGAACTGGAAAATTTAGGAAGTGTTTTAAGAGGAGTTAGGGGTATATTTTATAAGGATTTTGATTCTTAATATTAGATGCTGTGATACTAAAATTATAAAATACCTGCTCAAGGGTTTACAGATGTATATTACGGACTAGCAAACAAACTTTTGAAATTTGGGGGCATTGTATTGTATGGATTGATTGGATTGTAGGTTCTGTATTTGACATTGATGTACAAATATTATTGTTATTAGTGCTAGGAATTGTTGGTGAGTTAGAAACTATTAGTTCTGATTTCTGCAATTGTGGTGATAGTGGATGGAACAGAGCACTTTCACTTTTATGTGTGTCTCTTTTAACTTGTTATGTGATTGGATTATGGCTCCTCTTTGGTATTATGCTCATGGCTTTTTCAAGGAAGCTGCCCTTCTGTGCAGAGTGATTGGCGGCCTTGCTGCATGCTATATGTTTTCACGTTTCTTGTCATGACTTGCTTTTTATCTTTCCACTAATTTACTTCCTCATTTTGTGTTTTTAACATTTTATTAACCAACCCTCCAAAAAATATTAAAAGACTTTGGTATGCCTAGTTGTTCGTAACTTTTCTCAAGATCATTTGGCATTTTTCTCTTCCCTTTTCCTTAGTGAAAATCTCAATGCATTTAATGACTGCCTACTTTTATTATGATTATTGTTTATGTCCATTACATCTGTACGCTGTAGTGACTTTTCATGTAAAAACCTTAAATCAAGATCATCCACCACCACCAGCCAAAGGTTCTCTAAATCAGTGGGAGGGGTATCCAAGCGCATTGTAATTAAGGATATATGTTAGGGTTTAGGGTTTACGCATTGTAATTTATTAAATATTTTTTGGTTACAATTTGTTTTGAGTATATCTTTTCTTTAAAATAAGAAATTAATAATATATATATATATATATATTGTACCAACCTCGGTCAACTCGGCCTACCAACTCGGCCTGCCCAAGCTTGAATCACAATATCAAGTAGTTAATTTAACGGTAATAATGACGGTTACATAGAGAAGGAAAATGGACAATGGCAGGTAAAAATATATACATTTCATTGGACAACCTCATATAACTAACTTGATCGTCGGAGTTCTTTTTGCAGGTACATCCGAGACGCTTGGAGAAGGGCGACCAATCTCGGCGACCAATCTCGAAGACCAACCTCGAAGACCAATCTCAAAGACCAATCTCTCATGATCTCTAAAGAGACCAAGATAGAGAAGATGATAAATCTGACTTGAAGGACCAACCTGATTCTGGTAAGAACATTTTGGCGCTAGAAAGAGGGCATGTAAAACTTTCCTCCGATAACCTTATGGTTTCAACTCGAAGCTAGATTCGCCATACAAGTATACAACTGAGGCTGTAGCTTATCGAACTCATGCCTCAACAAAATTCCACAACTATGGAA